CACCGCAGGGAAACAAGCCAGTCCCTGGGACGAAGCGCGGGACTCGCTTCCAGGCAGCACCTAGAGCAGCCGGAGTCCTAGACATAGGAAGCAGGACACGGTGGCCAGGGGCTGGGGACAGAGGAATGTGGCAGGGGGCGCTCCACGGGGACAGGGCTTCCGTTTGGGAAGAGGAAGGGGTCCCGGACGGGGATGGTGGGGGCCATCATACACGTGCCCCCAAACCGCACACTTAGTGTGGTCAAGCGACCCGTCTGTGTTCTCCTCCCCACCGTCACACACACAGCGAGAGGGCCATACCTCCGCCCAGCAGGGACGTGGTCTCCCGGGGAGCGAGTGTCTGGGGAAGAGGACAGTCTGCTACCCGGCTGGGCGTGGAGAAGCCCACGCCGCTCCTCTAAGGCCACCTTCAGTGCTTCTCCGTGGCGGCCCTTCCGCAGGGCCCACAGGAGATCTCTGCTGCCGCACCGGCCAGCCGCTCGCTTTTAAGGCCGTCCCCCCCGCCTTCCGCGATCCCCACATTCTGCCCCCCATTGTCCTGGCTTTCCAAGTTCTCGGTTGCTAGGTACGGGGGACGCCCAGGGCGGGGCTCAGGTGGTTAGACGGCAGCCTCTTGATGGCAGCTTGGGCCTTGGTCTTTGGGCCTTACTTAGTCTTAGGGTTGTGAGTTGGGGCCCCTGTTGGGCTCCATGTGGGGCCCACTCAAAAGAGAGTAAGAGAACACAAAACTAAAAACAAATAAAAAAATAAAACAAACTCTTGGCTGTTCGGTCCCCAACGCCAAGATGTACTGTTCTTTCATTGATCAGCACACCCCTTTGCTTTCTTTTCTTCGTCACGTATCCTCTCCATCAGGTTTTCTTTGAGGGGTAGGTAAGGCTTACCAGTGGACCATCAGAAACCGCTTTTTTTCTTTTTTAAGATTTTTATTTATCTGATAGATCACAAATAGGCAGAGAGGCAGGCAGAGAGAGAGGGGGAAGCAGGCTCCCTGCTAAGCAGGGAGCCCTATGCGGGGCCCGATTCCAGGACCCTGAGATCATGACCTGAGCCAAAGGCAGAGGCTTTAATCCACTGAGCTACCCAGGTGCCCAGAGCCCGCTTTTAAGATATATCTCAGTCAGACCTGTCTCCTTGCTGCTTCTCTTGTCCCTGGCACGGCATCTAACCCACATCTTCAGGAAGGATGGACTGTTTTTTTTTTTTTAATAGGCTGTGGCAATGTGTGTAGGTAGGTGTAGGCAGAAATGGCACCCACCAGGCCATGCCGCGCTGTGAAAGACTGCGGGCAGCTAACACTAGAGACGATGCCCTTAATTCATGGGGGAGCGCCTCCTTTTCTCTGAGCCTGGACTACAGCCTTGTTGACACAACACACACGGGGGAGACCGTCCGGGCTATGCGTAATAATTCCTCGTCTGTGAGAAACTGACCTGACCTACGATTGGGAATAGCTTCCAATGGGGCTTCTGTAGACATGAAGTTACTGGAAAGTCCTATCATGTCAGCTGACCGGCACCTAGGACTAGTTCTATATAGAAACCCAAATTTCTCCAGAATTGCTTAGGGTTTCCACGATAAGGTATTTATCCCAAGAAAATGAATAGAGATATGTACAAAGATGTAAGTGAAACATACACCCAGTGACCTTTATAACCAAGGTTACAACTGGGGAAGAACAAGAAAAAACTCCATTCCGAGAATACACTCGGTGAACCATTTATATCCTTCGAGTGCAGTATTACCCAGCAATTCAACACTATGTTGAATAGTTAAGGGAAAAGTTCCCAACTTTTCTTTTAAAGAGTTTATTTATTTATATGAGAGAGAGAGAGTGAGACAGCATGACCAGGAGGACAGGCACAGGGAGAAGCAGACTTCCTGCTGAGCAGGGAGCCCGATGTGGGATTCGATCCAGGACCCCTGCATCATGACCTGAGCCAAGGGCAGATCCTTAACCCAACTGAGCCGCCCAGGTGCCCCTCCACCAACCTTGTTAAATAGAAAAATTTCAAAAATGTGGTTGGTATACTCCTGCTTCTTTGGGGCGGAAGAAAGGAAAGGAGAGAGAGGAGGAAAGGAGATACGTGAATGTGTTATGTCCCTTGGCAATAGGTCTGACAGCTTGAGCATCTTTATCTGTGCCGGAAGGACAATAACCATTCTTGGCGCGAGAGGGGATAGAGCATGCGAAGGGCCTGATCGACCCACAGAGGTCCCGAGGGAAAAGCGGAGGCGACCTCACGCTGCTCCGTGACGCACACTGTGTGCCCTGCTTTGTTCACTTGCTTGTTCAATACTCGTGGGTACAGTGAGCGCTCACTCGTACCAGGCACCCAGCAGACAAGCATGGATCTACACAGCTCCCCACCTTGAGCTCTGAGGGCTGATGGCCTCGTGGGCAAGCATGTTAGAGAAACTCAAACTGCACAAAGCAGAACAGGCGCTGGGGTCAGAAGCACACGCAAGCACGAGCCCCGAGACTCGTTCCGCTGGATCCTGTTCAGGACAACATACTGGAACTGCACAGACGGGAGCTCCTCTCCCCAGAGGACATGAGAGGACTAGAAAGATATGAGGCAGGGCCTTTGGAGGAGCAAAAGGAAAACCTTGAAAACTGGAAAAAAAAAAAAAAAAATCTAACTTTTCCATCCCGAAACAGCTTCAGACCTACGAAAACGTTGCAAGCGGCACAGACCTCTCCAGCCTCCACCCACACTTGCCAAATGCAAACCGCTTACGTAGCCATGGTGCGACTATCAGAAGCCAGAAATCACTGTGCACACAACACTACGCTCTCGGGACTTGCTCAGACGTCACCACGAGGCCGGCGGATGTCCTTTTGCTGCCCGGGATGCGTCCTAGGGTTAAGCATGTTTGCCGGGTTCCCTGTTTTGAGTGGCCCCTCTTCCATTGTCTTGGTCCCCCTTTCTACATGACAAAGGAAAGAAAGCAAAGAGGTGTGCTGATCAATGAAAAAACGCTGTGTCCTGGTGTTGGGACCTAACAAGGGTTTGTTTTACTTTTTTATTTTTGTGTCATCTTATTCTCTTTTGACTGGGCCCCATGTGGAGCCCAACTGGTAAGGCTTGGCCTTGTTTTTAAAGAACTTCCCTCACTTTGGGATGCAAACTGCATCCTTCTTAAAGCCCTCCAGGGACGGCAGCTGTGTCCCCCTCCTGGTGCCATCAGCCGCGTGAACACCCCTTGACATGGTCTTCGCCAGGTTGGAGAACGCTATCGGGCAGGCCTCGACTTTGAATCTGATGACCAGATGGAAGCCAGCAGAGCTCTATGCTTTGGTTGAATCTGCCAAAGACTCTGTCCCTGCGCTGTACTACCATCTCTGTCCTCTCCGCCTGCCTGTCTCCAGTGGCGCTGGCATGGCCATGAGTGTTTGGGGCATCTGGTGGAGAGGCAGGAGGCTAGGACTACACAGTTTGGGCTTCGTGGGATGCTCACTGGATCACGTTGACTCAAGACGCACCACGTACAAGAATGAACCCACCGAGCGTCGCGCATTGTCTTTCTTCTCTTTAACGGGAGATGCAGAAAACATGCTTCCAGAATGCCTGTCTTGTAGGGCACAGACGTGCAACAGAACAGCAGACAGGTCTGAAAATGGAGTGAACATCTGGGGTCCCCACATCCCAGACCGTGTGTCGGGGTACCCCAGGGCGCTCACCCTCAAGAAGTCTGACAGGCCTGCAGCAAAGACCACACGGTCGCCAGTGTGGTTCACCAGCCTGAGCACGCAAGGGCTCGGGGACAGAAACGCACATTTCGTTACCCGTGGGTCACGGGACACGGTGGCAGGATCGCAGCCTTGCAGCAGAGCGGCAACCCACGGCCGCATCTGAATTGTTCCGTTACTCCTCTCCTGACCAATTCAGAACTCAGACGCCACGACCTGAAGTAGCCTGGGCAGAGGCCAGAAGTGAAAACAAATGGGCGGTGTTCATCCACTTTTATAAAAGCTGAACTTGTGCATTTTTTCCCATTCTCAGTAAATAACGCACTCTAACTCTATTCAACAGACCCTCCCCTTCCTGTCTAGCCTGCAGGTCCCACAAACCTTCTCCAGAACAGAACCTTTCTGATCCTCCCAAGCAGAGTAAGTGCTCCGCTCTGGCAGGTCCGCTCCGGGAAGGCGCTCCTCCCTGGATGCAGATGGGACGCGGGACACCCCAGAGCCGCACTGTCACAGCGCTCTCCTGAATTCGGCCCGACGTCTCAGCACGTGATCATGGGTGAGCTCGGCTGATTTCCGCAGCCCTTCCCCAGTTCCAGAGGGCGACCCTCGGAGGCTCGGAGAGACCAAGTGCTTTGCCCATGGCCACCAGGCTAGGGAGCGGCAGAGGGGGCCTTGCTCGGGGAACCTGACTTCTGGGTCCAGGATGCTGGTGTGGGAGATGGAGGCCAGCGCTGATTCGTCACACCCTGTACCCACCCTCTGGCACATGACTTCACAGTTCCTCCCGCCCAAGCAAGGGGACAGACCCCCCCCCACCACCACTCTGTGTTCAGCTGGGAGACTTGCTTTGACAGCGGAAGGTACGCAGGCGTGACAGAACCAGGTACGTGGGAAAACAGCTTTGCGACCATGATGGTTCTCTCACGCACCTGCCCTGGACGTCCCCAGGCCAGACTGCCGGTTCCAGGAGCACGATGCCAGACACGCGGAGCAGAGGGCATCAGGATCTACGAATTCATGAGCTCCAGAGAGGCATCTGCGCACAATGCATGTTCATAGCTGCCTGTTACACAGCATCACGACGGCAACAGCTAACTGATCCAGCCTGGGTCCCCGGCTTTGTCCTGACTGCAAACGGATGAGCCTGGGGTAGACTGGCACATGGTGACACACAGACCAATCCCAAGCCCCCCAGTTTATCAGAATCTGACCTACGGGGAGGACGGTCTGGTTACTTACAAAAGACATAACACAGGTAAATCGGAGACATGCTCCATTCACTCCAAGACACCATTTATTTTGTTAAAGTCAAGCAGGACGATGTGTTGAGAGGTGGTGAGTGTCGAGCATGAAGTACATACACATTTTCCACAGTGGAAGCAGGATAAAAGCCACGGGCAGCGGCCCTGACTGAAATCCCGAAGTACAGGGCATCGCAGAGCCGAGCTATGGCGGGGGGAGGAGTCAGCCACCACCTACGAACGCCAAGGGCAGAACGTTAGCACCAGGCTGTTCTTGTATGCAATAACATGGTATTTACAAAGTTACATCCACCGACTCACTGGACTCTTTGGGCCCCCGCTAACCAGACGTCTAAGAGGCCAACGGGAAGGGCACAGGACCGTAACGGTGACATGTGCTTTGCTGAAAGCACAGTGGAGCGTTCCATATTGCTACGTAGAAGAGAATGTCCTCCAGAGACCTCAAAAGGCTGGACACAGACACATAAATTCCATTATTCACATTTTACATATTTATCATCAAAATGGTTCACAATACTGTGTTTGAGGGGAAAGGATCACAGATAAAAGCTTTGTGTAAATTAAAAGCAAAATACAGTCAAATTACTGCGGTTGTCCCCGTGGGGGAGAGTGACGGAGGTCCGGGGACAGCCGGCCTCACCTTTTCTGAAGTGACCAGTTTTCACAGCAAGGGACTACACCAGGAGGCAAGGAGGACACTTCATTGGCAGAATGGGCATTCTTCAAGTCAGAAGTAGCTTAATTTGATAGGAATGACAACTTGTGAAAAGGCATTCGTCTCTTTGGCATGGCTGGGTTGCCAGGAAGAGTGTTTATTGCCTGCATGACTGAAGCCTGCCAGTTTGGACCCCTCTGGGCAGGGGCGCACAGACATCCGTGCCGTGGCTCAGGAGTCCAGCTCACCCCCCGGCGCAGGAAGTACAGACATCGGTCAGTTAAGACACTCGTGTGCACGTGTGTTTCGGGAAGGGAACACTCTGCTGACAAAAGGACGTCCCCCCACCTGTTGGAAAACTTCCACGGCAATACGGGGAAACGAGGATCCAGATGATCCCTTTATCAAACAAGTATCTGGATATCACCCCGACAGGAAGTCATCGTGGGGTTCCCCTGCCATTTACCAGGCACCGAATCAGAGGAGCGTCTGGGAAGCAGCACAGCGGGTCTGCAGCGACACAGATAAAACACCGATGACAACCAAGCCGTTGGCGGGCAGACATTGTCCCACATGCTGGTTTGCCACGCACACCTGTGCCCTGTTCAGTGGAGCGCCAAGTTATGTCTCTTGCCCACGTGCTAACGGGGCTGTGTGCTCTCTTGCTGTGGAGCTCTGAAAGTTCTCTGCACGGTCCAGATACAGATCCTCTGTCACAGATGTGACCGGCAAATCTTTTCTCCCAGTCTGTGACTTCTCCACCGGAAATGGACAGCACGACAGTGTTTTGTGAGTGAACAGACTCTTGTTAGAATCTTGTCATTTCAACCAATGAAAAGGCCACAGAACCTATAGAATCTGTGGCCAAAGGTCAGGTTTAGGGCTTGTAGAGTCCATACGGCCTCTGAAAGGCCAGAGAAAAGGTTCTTACACGTAAATGGAACGGAACCCTTCCACGGCATGGTAGTGGATTTGAAGAGGCAAAAGGGGACAAGAAGCCAATGATCGTTAATGACCCAGTGCACACAAAGTAAGCATTCTGGGGAAAAATGAGCTTTAGAAATCTGCTGCTGGTCTCAGGAAACAGACGTCTAGCAAGCACATCACACTACGGGACATACTATGAACCGAGTAATTTCTCTTTGCAAGGAAACAGCCCTGGAACCGGGATACCAGGACTGAAACTATCTGCTCTGTGCCTGTGTTTTACAGCATGCATGCTATTTCTCTAAGTGGCGATTTCAGAATGAGTGAACCCAACACGTTGGTGACTCGTTCCATGGTTGGTTTTTAACCACTTGGAAATGATTCACCTTTCCAAAATGTTAATGCATGACCATCACAGATCATCACAGTTTTTGCTGGGGGACAAGGAAGGAGGACAATGAATGGTCCACACCACCTGACGAACAGGGAGGACACGCGGCAGCCCAGGCTTTGGATGAATCACAGGACAAGACGTGCGCCAGGGTCTCCCCTCACGCACCTTATGGACCCGCTCAGCTTCCCGAGCGGCTGCTTCAGGATGGGAAGATGGGAGGAAGGGCAGACCCACCCGTGGAAACGACCCCTTGCATCGCCACGCGGCAGGAGCCCACAGTCTGGACCCAACCAAGTCGCCATCCACTGGAGCCCGCCGCCACGAGTGTGACTTGCAAAGGAAAGATGGCTAACGGGGAGACATGCTGCGGCACATTCAAAAGGGGAACCAAAGAATTAAATAGACCATCGCAAACACACACACAGTTATTGCTTTCCTAACAGCTGTTTTGCTACCGGAGGATTTGTGCTCCAGGAGCCAGAGAGAGGCTGGGGTTCCTACTCGCCTCCTCGGGAACGGAGCGCCCGGCGCCAGCTTCCGTCCTCCGCCAGGGAGGGCTCCCCTTATTTGGCTCTGTCGGGCTGGAGGCTGTCGAACAGGCACTTCAGCTGCTCCTCCCCCAGGTGTATCTTGTCCTCCAGTTCCCGCTGCTCGATGATGAGAGCCGACTTCATCTTCACGAAGTGCTCGTAGTCGGCCAGGCTCTCCTCACTCAGGTAGCTGGCCAGGATGTCGAGCACAACGCGCTCCCGGCGGTCCAGGTTCTCCTTCAGCTCCTTGGCGTCCTCGTGCTGCTGGATGAGCATCCGCTGCTTCTCGAGCAGTGACTGCTGCGGAGAGAGAGAAACGAACCCACTGAGGAGCGGGGCTGGAGCAGGGCTCCGGCCGACAGCCCGACAGCCCGACAGCGCTGGTGAGGCTGGGAGCTGGGACAGCCAAGACAGCGACCCGAGATCGCACGGGGGCTGGGACACACAGGTTGGGGGCTGGAGATCGGGATCCGTGGGACAGGGGCGAACGCACTGGGAGGCCACAGCCGGCCCCAGGCCTGACCCGCCCGTAAGCACCCTCAGGCCTGTCCTGCTTCCACTTCTTCCCACGGGCCGTGGCCTTGAATGGCTCAGAGAAACAGCCGGGATGACAAGGGCCGTCCAGACACAGACAACTACAGAATTCCGAGAAGCTCGAGAGGTGTGACGGACTTAGGGATGCCAGGTGGGCCACAGGCCTGTCTGTGACAAGACTATGGGGAAGTCGGCAAAAGGAAGAGATGCTTAAGAACTCCCAGAGCAGGATCCTACATGCTTCTGGCAGGAGGAGCCTCTGTGCAAACTTGCCGAAGGATGAGGTGGGGGAGCGAGGACAGGCAGAAGAGACAAGGTGACGGGGGACACTCCCTGGGGGGGCACAGACAACCCCATTCCCAAAACGCGGCCCTCACTGTCATTCTCTGTTTATGAAACACACACGAACCAACCCGACCCCCTTCGAGATTAATGAAAACTAAGAAGGGAAGCGCTGGGCACATTCCGCAGTATCTCCCAGTGTCCGCCGAGGGAGGCGGGGATTCAACTCCCCGGCCACCAGGACAGCCCCTTCAGTTTTCCGCCACTTTGCGTCTTGGCCATGGACCGTTCCTGACAGCTGCGCACGAGCGTCTGGGACATGGCAACGCTTTGCAAAATGCCCAGGCACAGGGACAGCGCTGGGACGCAGCCCGGACCCCACTGTGTGCAGGGCCTTCCCGCCCACTCCTGTGGGACACCTCCATCTCCACGTCAAACTAATGTTCGGGGAGTTTTCACGGAAAGAGGGGAGGCAAAGCAATTGGTCCCTATGCAAAGGAAAACAGATGTCAACTGGTTCTAAAAGTCCGCTTGGGCTGTTAACGCCATCTGGGCTGACCGGTGACAGGAAGCTGCACAGATTTCGGGGGAGGACCCGACGTGTTCGCACTGACCCACGTACTCAATTTCTAACTGCAAAGATGGAGGGAGACTTGTAAAACCTCCCTCCGTGTCTTCTAAATGGTTACCATGTCCGTCTCTGGAAACCTTGGCTTCCCCAAGCTGCAGCTGACTGACAGGCTCTCCTCCGCTGGCGGTGCTGCTGGACACTGGAGCACTGCACCGCACCTGGCCAGGGCAATGAGACCCTGCGTTTAGAAGACCCCCGCGATGCAGTGAGGGCTGCTGATGCATGCTCCCTACAGAGCCTGGTATCTGAGAGGACCATGGCCATGGTCCTTAGTGCTGTGACTCTTTCTAGCATCTGTTCAACTTTTTTAAAAAAGACTTTTTTTTTATTCATTTGAGACAGCACAAGCAGAGGCAGAGGGGGAAGCAGACTCCCCACTGAGCAGGGAGCCCGACTCGTGGCTCGATCCCAGGACCCCGGGATCATGACCTGAGCCGAAGGCAGAAGCTTAACCCACTGAAACCCCCAGGCACCTCTATCATCCCTGAATTCTAAATGAAGTCTCTGTCCGTTGCACACACAGAGAGGGAAAGATGGATTAAAATGGGCTGAGCTGCAAAGACCACACTACCTTTTCCCTCAAATTAATGCCTGAGAACACTGCAATTACATATAAACAAATCTGTTTTCTATTTATGTTTATTTTCCTGTTTCTAGATAGACCTGGAGAAGATAGGCAAGACAGAAACATGGAATCTGCACACCACCCAAGGGTCTCAGTTGTTTAAATGCTCCTATAGCACGTTCAAATGGTGGTTACTAATGACTCAGCGAGGCCCAGAACTACAACAGTCTGAAAGCCACACTCCAGAAGATTTATGTGGCCGACACCCTCTCACGGGGAGTAAGGGAGAGGGCTGCCTCTTCTGCCTCCCTTTCATAGAAGTTAAGGTGTCTTATCAATATTCAAGATGACCATCTGAAGACCTACCAAAGAATCAAACTCAATGTTTTACTGGTATTTGACCCAGGAAGGAAAGGCAGCAAAGCAAACATGACTTCCCGTGTCTTGCAGGTCAGAAACGGACACAGAAACCCGCTAATAGACATGCTCCAAGCTGCACACCTCAAGCAAGGGAGGAAAGGCAGACAAGGCCGCTGGTTCTCTCCAGACTGCCGTGTGCACTCCCGTTAAAAGCAGCAACAAAAGTGAATTCCGTGACCACCGAGTGCTTATAATTTGTCAGAGCTGATGAGCTCCACTTCCATGTGGTCAAGCGGAAAAGATAATTTCCAAGGGAAAGACCGTGATCAGGAAAGATCCCTGGGAGCGAATAGAAAGGTGTCACAAAGAAGCCACAGTTGTTCCCCAACAGCACGGCAGCCCTGCCGTCCAGCAAGAGCAGTGCCCAAGGCCCCGTGCGCCCTGGCAGCGCCTGTCAGGGGCATTTCTGCGGAAAGAGATGGAGAGTCCCAGGCGCGCTGCCTAGGAACTGCGCGAGGCTTCCCGGCGGGAACTCCTGGCACCCCACACACGACCTGCCCACGGGCCCCCCAACGTCCAGCTCAGACACGCTGCACCTACCCGGTCACCAGGAGAAGTGCTGTCGTCCAAATTATTGAGGGCATTTTCCACACGGGCCAGGCGGCCGGACAGCGACAGCAGAAGGTTCACTACTTTGTCCAGGTCCCCGATGAACATCCGGAACTTGTCGAACTCGTTGGGTTTGCAGACATCTTTGGCAATGGCCTCCACCTCATCCCCAAGTGCACTGTTGGCCTGGATGTCCTCCAGCAGGCTCTCCCGGGCCTCCCGCAACACCTGCAGCTTGCGACTGATGCTCTCGATGAGCTCCTGCTGTGGGGACAGGGGTGGCGTGCAAGCGCTCACCAGGGTGGTCCCAACCTAGCCCCTCCAGCCACGGTGGCAGTCCGTGGTCCCACCTAAGTGGCCTGCGTGGAATTCAGCTGAACTCGGTAAGAGTTCATTTTGCATCAAATGAGCACCTGCAGCTTGCGACTGATGCTCTCGATGAGCTCCTGCTGTGGGGACAGGGGTGGCGTGCAAGCGCTCACCAGGGTGGTCCCAACCCAGCCCCTCCAGCCACGGCGGCAGTCCGTGGTCCCACCTAAGCGGCCTGCGTGGAATTCAGCTGAACTCGGTAAGAGTTCATTTTGCATCAAATGAG